ACATGCTCGGCTCGCTACTTTTTAATTATTAGTCCATAACGCATCATCTTGACCAGCATCGTCGCCACCATGGGACAGTCGTTCTGTGACATGAACGACGGCTGATGTATTTAAACACAGGTTTCGGAACCGGAATTTCAGGGTTAGAGAAGTGTACGTACGCTTGAGGCCATGTTTGCCGTTCTATATATCAGCCAGCATGACCTTGTAGCGCAAGTGCTCACAACAATACTACAAGTTTCATGTTAGCATCGCACAGCACATGCGCGGTACAATGATGCCACCAGCAACGAAGAAAGATGTTTCGGGCGCCTGAGCGATGGAAGGTCAGCATGCCCATGTCGAGAAGATGAGGGCAGGCGGCCGCATCGGAAAGTTGGTGAAGCATCCTGGTCACCTGCCATTGGAACAGTTCAGTTTTCAGCTTTATAGACTCTTTTGTCATGGACCTCTGGCCATGCACCCGTTCAGCTGATGGTGATAACGAGCAGAAACGTTGGCCGGAGTGGTCGACCAATGTCGGCCAGTGATTGAGCATCGGTGGTCTTTCAGGTAGCTATCACCTCATTCTCTCCTGTCTTTGGTGGTGCCTGTCTTTGCCTTTCCCGTTGCAGGCACGCTCGGGTACCTGGCCAGGAATGTCTTTTGTCGCTGCACATGTAGACCTGGTCTTGAATTCAATGCCAACGACTGCTTGAAGCAATTGAGCCGTCTTGCTCGTGACAGGTGCGAGCTTTGCTGCTTTGCATGTTTCGAGCTGTGTCGACATACTCCACATATATTGGTGTCGAAGGCATGTCGTGACTGCTCGGCTAACACGGTTTCGGAGTGGAAACGAGATACTGTACTTAGCTTACTTTTACAAATCTAACCAATAGTAATCAACAGGTTGGTGTTCTATACTGTTGTGACAGCTCAAACCTAGTTCAAGCTGTGCTCAACACCTTCTCGCTGGTGGCTGGCACGCCCAAGCACAGCTCGATGGGAACAAACCTTAGGAGGAAACTACCTCTAAACGCTAAAGCCTCAACCGAAACCGAGGTTTCGATTTATTCTTTGCAGCCGTCGTGATCACCAACGCCATCTTCATAGGCATCGATGTCCAACGAACGACCGAGGCCGAGACTGGCGACAGGCCCTGTCGGTTCTATGTGCGGTTGGGGTTTTCGGGTTCCTGAGGGCTACAGCATTCTAAGGATTGCTGCGGGTGGTGTTCCGGAAGCCGCTGGACACAAATGCAAACAGGGGCTAACTACCTGTAATAAAGGGGTACAAACTGGTCATGCCAGAAGTCACTGGAGCTTTCAGAGGCCGGCCGGCTACATGGTTATCGGGTACATCTACACACTGCTTTACATAGCTGAGCTCGTGTTGCGGCTCTCTGCTCACGGCTTGAGACTCTTCTGCTCGGACGATTGGATGTGGGTGTGCTCTCGGCGAGGTTATCATCAGATGTCTGTCATTTTGAGCCTTAAAAAGACCCTCAAGGCTCCAACCCCTTGCCATGCCGCACGCGTCAGCAGAACTAGGGCCGCTTGCTTCTTGCATATCAGTCTCCAGTGAGGTTGTTAGATTGCTTCATTGTCGCGACCTCGATATGGGATGTCTTTGTGGACATTCTGACGGCCATTCTGCCACCGGACGAGAACGGCTTCGAGAGCGTCTCGGGGCTTTCGACCCTGAAGGCTTTCCGAGTTGTTCGTGTGACCCGTGTTTTGAAGATCGCTCAGCTATTGCGGATCTTCCGCTTCGTCATGGCTCTTCGAACTCTGGTACAGTCCATCTTTCACACGCTCAAAGCCTTAGTGTGGGCTCTGCTTCTACTGCTTCTGATCGTGCTCCTTGGCCAGCATGCAAACTGCAAGATGCATAGCCATGGCTGCACTGCACGATCAACTGCTAGCAGGCAGAACCCCAAACCTCCAACCCTAAACTACGGTTGATGATATAAATCCGGCATTACCCATCATATATAAGGAATATACCATAATTTCCAGAGTTTAGGGTCCATAAGGTAATGCAGATTTGTATCATCAGCCGTATGTCTTCATGCAAGCTAGACATCTGAAACGCCCCAATGCGTGCAAAGCTCAGAAGCCTTGCCCTTGGCATCTCGATGCACGCTGCCAATAGTAAGTTGTACTCCTTGTAGCCCTAGCCGCTGCAACATATACCCGGGCTCTTGAACGCGCATTTGCGGACAGAGCTGCTGTCCTTGAAGAACAATTTGTTGTTTGAGTTGGGCGATATCATGATCTACACTTCCCACTGAGGTATGTTTTCGCCGTAATCTTCACCCAAGCTATCAGCGACTACAGGGTGGATCAGAGCGCAGCCGGCGAGGCCTGTGTCTAGTGGCTTCTGAAGTTTTGCTTTCAGGGTTTTAAGTTTTGGCTGCTTCCGTGAAAGGTCCTGCCCGACATCGTTGGCAACGACGGGATACTCTACTTTGGAAGCCTTATCGACAGCATGCTCAGTCTTTTTATGAGCATCGCTGGAGGTATCCCAGCTGCCTTTCGGTGGTTCTCTTCTCCCACCATATATATGTACAGTCTTCCACATCCAGAATCTCAAGCAAGACCAGGTACCCCGATGTTAACACCCTTGTTTCTGAGAGATCGATTTTTCTTCTTGCGGCCCACTTCTTCAATACCCGAAGCCTGAAGCCCCGTGCCCCTTTGTCCCCCATTTCCCCTAACAAAGCTCCCTGCCGCCTGCACAGCCCTGAAACCTGATTCCCATAGCCGAAGCACATTCTTAGGTGCCCTAAGGCCTGAGCCCTAAACCCTAAACCCTAACCGCCCCCTAACCCGTCCGAATGCCCTGGCATCGGCAAGCTTCTCAGCATTCAAAGGAGTAGCTTTCCCTGAACCCGAACTAATTCGCATTTCTAAGGACTTCCAGTAATAAAGAACTCATAGTAAGGTTTATAGGGTTAGGGTCGGCTCGGAAGAGCAATGAGATTGGCATGTAAATGCAGGGAAGGCCTCCTAGCACCCTGAAGATCTCGACGTTTTGCACAACGACCCAGAGATCTTTGGCGCTGTAGTAAGCATCTTCTCGAAGGTTCCTCGTGTGCTGCCCTTCTATCTTTGGCTTTGTCTATATCTGTATCTGCATCTATATGTATATATATATATATGGTATATATATATATATATATACATTTAAATATGTGTACAGATACATATACACATGTAAACATACATACATATAGACGTATATTACATATACATATGTATATATATATATATGTACTTACATATACATCTCTCTTTCTCGCTCGTTTTCCCGTTTATCTCCGCAACCTCGCAGCTTCAGTCATCACTCCTCGTCACGGTTCTCACGAGTCCTACCTTGCGAACGGACTGCGATGCCTTGTCAGGTTCTAAGGTGTCACTATAAGAGCTGTGAGCAAGACCGTGTAAAGTGCAAGAGAAGGGGGCACGCTACGCGTCCCTCGACTCTAAGGGGGCATGCTACGCATCCCTCATCTTTACCTTTCTATGTGACCGCCAACGCAACGTTTGGCTCAAGTCAATGCCCATAGCTAAGTGCTATATGTGTCTTCTATCCTGAGCAATCAGAGCTATCCCGTTGCACAGACGAACCGCCGCCGGCAGTGAGTGCAAAAGGAACGGCCGCCGGTTCTGCCTGCATAGGATTGCACGTGTGGAAGTAAGAGGGAGAGACAGGGTCCAGTCTGTGGAGAGTGCTAGCCAGCCACACCTACATTCATTACAGCTCTGGTGGGGAGAGCAGCAACCAAGTCGAGATCAATCCCCCACGCAGGTTATCAGCCGTACGCGGCTCTGCCTTTCTACAGCAACGACTACTTGATCTACTACGACCACAATGAACTCAGGATCAAGCCAAGATACGACAATGACTTTCGGTGCCGATGTGGCAGCGCCAGCCGTTGGTGAGTCAACAGCTGATGACACAGTGGTGCAATCCGTTGATAGCTCCACGGAAGATGACAAAGGTCAATCTTCTGCGCTTGCCATTGCAAAGGCAGTTCCCAAGGGGAAAGCAAAGAGTCTACCAAGAGCATCTACGCCTTCGCGTCCGACATCCACAGGTTCGAGGACGGGCAAGGCTCCCGAACGACGAGCCGAAGCGTCTGGTTTTCAGGCACCTCGGACTACGTCCAGGGCCAAGGACAAAGGAGTGAAGACCTTGGAAAAGAAGTCAAGGCCATCATCTTCGAGAAGCTCTTCAGCACGATCGAGGACTTCGGCTACTCGTGGGCGTGACAAATCCATGACTTGGAATCGGATGGTTACCAATCAACCACGTGATGCTGACGATCTGGATATGACTCTGGACACTATCCCAGCACGTGGTGATGCATCATCGGTGACCACGCCAGCCATAACCGATGGTCCGAATGCCTATCAGGAACTGACGATTTCGCAACAGCTCGAAGCATCTAACCTTGCGCAGCAGATGTACTATCGCAGTCAGATGCAAGAATACGAAGGAGTTGTTCAGACCCTGATGGACAAGATCAAGGAGATGCAACAAGAAGATGAAGGATCTGGAATTCGCATTGAAGAATTGGAACGACAACGTGACCATGCATGCTTAGCCATGAGGCACATCAACAATGTCAATCAGGAGATGAAGCGAGACTATGAAACAGCTTTGTTTCGCATGGATGAACAGAACTCTGCTCAACAACGTCAAGCACATGCCGTTGCCGAGGAGTTAGCTCAACAGCTACACGTGTTCCGCACGGAGGCAGCCACTAACTTTGTGCAGTTGGAGGCAAGAGCGCAAGGCGATGGTGAGCTTATGGCACGTGAGTATGAGCGTCTGACTCATGAACTTCATGAACATGCCAGAGAGAACTTGGTCCTCCGGTCAAACACAGCAAGTTCGGAACAAGCCTTACAAGCAATGCAGGAACGATTCCACTTGGTCAAGAACCAGGAGTTGCGGGCCGTGAACGAGATCCAAGGGCTAGCTGGAAACAGCGCAGCCATTGATCAAGAACGATTTCGGCTTCGCGAACGTCTTGGTGAAGAGGAAGAGTACCGCAAAATGGCTGTGAAGAGGATGCAAGAAGCAGAGGACCGACTTCATCAGAATGAAGATCATGCAAGGCGATCATTGCCTACCTTGCACGACGAGCTGAGTGAACTCAGGAAAACGCTCAAAGCACAAGAAGATCTTCAAGCGAGGACACGCAGCGAATTGGAGGCAGCGCGGAACTCCAACTATGGAGGAGCGACACGGCCTTCAAGCATGCCCATGTCTTCGAGGACTACTGAGTCTGGCTGGGAGCACGTAGGAAAGGAAGTAGTGCCTGCATTTTCCGTAGGAGGTGAGGTACGATCCCCTGAAATACGGTCCCCAAGTCAAGTTAGTCCAGTCGCCAAAGAGAAGTTCGCATTCTCGGAATCGGACAAGGACAAGAACCTTGTGATGGATGGAATTCCATTCACCGGTGGAAACTTCTTCACTGGCCGCAGTTCAATGCCAATCGTGGCGGATGCAATGCCCGAGCACTACGTGCCAGGTATTAGCAGCCCAGCACTTGCGCGTTCCACGCCTAGTGCAGCCACTTTGTTCGGCATACCAAGCGGATTTCATGGGAAAAGTGATGCGGCAGCCGTGCGTGATCGACAGCTACGCGAACTCTTGGAGGATCGCGGGATGTTGGGATCGAAGTCCACAGCATCTGCCAGCTCCTCAAGACCTGTTGGTGTCGACGGTATCACCGCATCTACGAAGGGCAACGACCTCATTGGTCCCCCTATTGCCTATGACGATTCCATTCATGAAGCAAGGAGACGTCAGATCGAGAAAGAGGTCGCGGAACGGTACGAGGAGAAGATTGCCGATCTGCGAAGCGAAGTACTCAAGGCCCAGAAAGCCGAACAACGTCTCAGAGCTGATCGTGATGAGTGGAAGTTATTCGCTGAAACGATTCAGGAGGATAATGGAGACGATGACGGTGACGAGGCTGGCGACGAGAACGAAGATGGAGAGCACGATGAAGGAACCGGCACGGGGTATGACCCTCCTGACCCGCCTGACGATGATGATGATAAGAAGAAAAGCGGTGGAGGCAAACCTGAATCGGATCCTGGCTCGCATGCGCGTGATCCTGATGGAGACGCGGATCCTGAAGTCACAGAGGTGAGAATTTCCAGGAGGGAAGCCGACAAAGTGACCGTTCCTCCATGGCCTACTCTCACTCATCTCAACAACTGGCGATCCGTGTGCACGGCCAATGTCTTAGGGGCATCAGCCGACCCACATCATGAGGACTGGATGTTATGGCTGGCACCAGCGTTCAACCCATTCCCTGATGTCGAAGCATTGAATGATTCAGGACACAAGAAGTTCAAGAGCATAGACGTCAAATTGGGGATCGCCATGGTCGCAATGCTACGTGCCGGTGGTGACAAATCAGCTGACCTGTACCTTGAGGTGAACCGGAAGGCTAACGATTACATCAGCAGGCCCGACGGGAAGATCATCAAAGGACGACAAATCATTGCGATGATGTATGAAAGTTTTCGAACGCACGATCGTCTCGACATGATCATCACTCTTGAGTATTTGGTGAAGCTCCAGTACCAAGGCGACAACAAGCTTCATACGTTCAAGCAGACGTGGTTGGAAGTTCTGGGGCGGATGAGACCAGAGGACATTCCATCCAAAACAGCTCTCCGTGATTGCTTGTACAGCAAAATCAAGGACTCGCCCGCAATGAAGATGGAGTTGGGCATGCATTACGAACACTTGCCCTACAATCATGAAGACCGATCGTACGACAACCTGATGAAGATCATTGACCGTACTATCATGCGGAGACGAGAACAGTCAAATCTCACTCAGACCCAAATTGGCTTGCGCCAGATGCTTGAGGGCAAGGATTTGCTTGCTGCACCGGCCAAGGTACCCGAGAAACCAACGCCTAACGCAGCTCCATCCGCAAAGGTCAAGGCTTCGCCGACCAAGCCGGATAAAGCAACACCTGTACTACCTCAAAGCAAAGCGAAGAGTCATGCGAAGACCAAGCCAAAGCCCAAGAAGAAGACGAGGAGTGAGTCAGCGGACAACAGAGGTGACAAAAGCAAGAAGCAAATCCGCTGCAAGTTCCATTTCACAGATGCAGGGTGTCGAAATGGTGATAAGTGTCCATTCAGTCACTCGAAGAAGACTCCAGAGCGACCCTTCACGCCGAGGACGAGAACTCCAAGTCCATCTGGAGGAGGAGGAAACAGGATATGCTACTCGTTCAAGAACACAGGCTCGTGCTCAAGAGAGAATTGTCCTTTCAAGCATGAGGCAGCAGCTACCCCAGCTCCGGAACCAAAGGCAAAAGCTAAAGCTAAATCCGAAGCGAAGGCAGCTCCAGCGAAGCCGAATGCCAAGGCCAAGGCACTCCCTGCGGCACCCGCCATCAGATTGTGTCGAAGGTGGAATCCATCAGCTCCGGCTATATGGAAGCGATCTTCAAGACAAGATGAGGAGGAGTCAGAT